TCACCCTCCAGCACGTTTCTTAACGGTTCCAACGGTTTACAACTTGGCAACAAAGCCTCATCAACCTGTTCCAAACATTGAACATAGTCCCAAGGGGTTAACGGCGATGGGCCCCATAGTGTTTCTTGTAGCCCCAGTGAGGGGGTGGGGGACTCCTCTTGGCACAGATTGTCCCACAGCATTTGTGCCTGATCAACCCCCTCTCATCCGGACCTTCTTCAAACTCTTCCCTCCTCCCACCTTGTTCTTGCCGCTCTTCTCCTTTCCACGGGGCTACGGTCACTTTCCATTCATGGGTTGGTATAGGCGCAGGTGAGTACTGGTGAGGTGCGGGATCAGGCAAGAGTCCGCCCACGCGTAGGTTTGGGAAGTCTCTCAATAAACCCTGGGTACGAACTTTCTCAAATGCCTGTCTTTTCTCATCTTTCTTTTTCCTCTCATACTCCTCTACTACTGCACTAAACCACACAACACCCTCTCTCTCCTTCTCCTTGCCTCCAACTGTCACTTCTGGCTCCTCCCACTCCCCTTCAGCCAAGCACACTTCCACCTTTACCTCCCCTTCTCCCTCTGTTAACCCTTTCCTCTCTTCTTTATTACTTTCACTGCTATCCAGCTGTTCTTTCTTTCCATCCTCTTTTTCCTCTGTCTTCTCTGCGGACGGCACACTCTCTCTTTCTACTCCTTCACATCAATGTGGAAGGAGTCAGGGGAAAGACGGTGACTATTTCATCCAATGAAGGTTGTTTACGGACAAAACACTCTCAAGCAGGCTTTCTTGCTGCGGATTTGTGTTTTTGGAACACTCCCCCTCACAGCCTGGCTTCTCCCACACTGACATTTAGCATAAAGTGTTACCACGGAAACTGTGAGATCATGACTTTGGCATCAGCATTTTAGTGAAGGGACAAGAAGGAGAGAACTTGGATTGAAAGAAGGAAGCCTGTATTTGTACAGGAATAGATCTGGCACAGTTGTGAACATAGAATAAAGAGTATTCTGAGAGATTATGGACACGTTATGACATCTGTTCATTTCACTTTGAATGAAGACATTCTCTGTTAACCATGCTGTGTCTTTCAGATTTCACTACAAAAGAGGGTAGTCAGAGGAAAGCCCTATTGGTAGCTTGGCATTTTTCTACTATACCATTCCAGAAAGCAAGGGGGAGGAAGGAAAGCTACAGTACAGAATACATGTGATCAGTAGACACATTATCTCTTCCCCAGTCTGATGGCTGTAAACACAGAAAAACACACAATATCCTGTCATGTAATTCTGGGCAGACTATAATTATCTGGCATATATAGGAACATGATACTATTTTCAGCCACTTTCCCATTCTGCCAAGTCCATAGATGGGGCTACAGTTCAGATTCCGCTGCCAACATTTTCTCCAGTGGCTAATCATAGCTAATACAGTATATCACCACTGGTGCACCCGCTATATTCCATTGAGCTGAAGGGTGCAAATGTGAATGAGTGCAACACATGCAAGTTACTTATTCCTATGAATGTTTTCAATTTGCTTGCTTTATCACAACAATATCTCAGGCTGTGTGAGGTTTTATTTTTGGAATGCTATTTTTTCAAATAGCATAGCAGCAAGCAAGAAAGTATGAGTTAAGACAGAATGTTTTCTGAGCAGAAGCTATGAAACTAACTGCTACCTACCCACTGTAACAGCCACACTCACACTTCACAGAGTGGTTGCTACTTCACTGTAAAATCTCTGCTGCCACCAACTTATCCTTAAAAATCATAAAAGGACAAGTATAACGTTTCAAAACAAAATCTGATTTATTGATTACAAAAATAAAAATGGTAAATCACTGGTGAAGAATCAATTAAACAATCACTGTTAATAAACGCTGGCTCACACTATTTCTCACTGACAGGCTGTCTCACTAACAATCACTTTAACTAACAAACCCTCATCTCTAATCTCTATCAATCTCTCAAAACTGATCTCTCAAAGCTTGCTTTATCACAACAATATCTCAGGCTCTGTGAGGTTTTTATTTTTCTTGCAAGCAAGAAAGTATGAGTTAAGACAGAATGTTTTCTGAGCAGAAGCTGTGAAACTAACTGCTACCTACCCACCTATTATCTGTAAGATTCTAAGCATATCTGCAAGGTGTAGAGACTTGCTTTTCTTCTTCCAGGTGAGGGCAGGGCTGAACGTTACACCCACCTTTTATCTGTAAGAGTCTAAGCATATCTACAAGGTGTAGAGACTTGCTTTTCTTCTTGATCTTTAAAAAAGGTGAAAAGTGGAACTCTGAGAATTCTGCACTAGATTGTGTGATATTTCATACTAAAATACACCTGTACATTAATAGCTTGTCAAATAGAGTCCTCAAAGGAGTGCCAATATTTAACAAATATGGTGGATACACCACTCAAAACACTCCCACTGAAGTAAATACTGGCTCCTGATGTTCGTTTCCAATGACTTAACAGGTAGTGGGTGGCTAGGGAGTGACTTTCTGAATGGAGCAAATCCAGAGATCTTTTGTGACCACCTCCTCATACCGTTATTCGGAATGCATAGCAATCTTGAAGTAAATGCAACAGCAGACCAGCCCTCTAATTTTAAAATCCTTCCATATGTACTGTTGCTCTCCAGCGGCTAAGGTGATTTTAAAAAATGGTGGGAATGGGATAGGGAGATGGCCCTATTCATCTTTTCAGAATGAACATGTTTTAACACTGTGAAACAACATTCTCTCTAATTTTCTGTTAGTGTGCTGCAGGGCTCTGCCCCATGCATGTAGGGTTCCAGCTGTGACCAGAAGCAAATGGGTGGCAACTCTGGCTCAGCTGCATAACCCCAATTTAGCACTGCGAGTTCGTGCAGCTTAGAGAGAACATTGCAATGAAGTCTCGCCATCCCATTAAGCAGTGAGACATTGAAGGTACTACTTTCCCAGGCAGTCATAGAGATTAACCACACAATCTTACATATGTCTAGTTGGAACTCTAGTTCAATGGAATTCATTCCTAGAAAAGTGACTACAGAATTACAGTTTTAAAACATGGTCAGCAAACTCGTTGCCATATGAACATGGAAGTGTCTCATATATATCCAGGTAGACATTCACTGTATGAAGTGCAGATTTATTAAACACAGACGTTTTTGAAGTAGCATCATTCTGCTTGATATCATGGATATCACGAAAAAAGCCTTAGAGCTCTGATCAATTAAATTCTGAAGCTTTCATAACCTTTTCAAACAAAGGGCCTAGTAGAATGGGTGGACTACATTCTAACTGAAGGTGCAGAGTACCAGTTCTCAGCAAACACAGCCTTAATTGCACAGTTTTAGGACTAAATGTTCATTTTTAGTAGGAGATATAATGATAAACACAAGCCACATGAAAGACATGGACAGGCACATGTTTCTGAGTGGTGAGGAAGCTTCTGTTTCAGATATGTAAAAATAGCTTTCAGATGCACTCCTCTTCAGGAGAAAGTTGTGTAAGCATGCAGCTTGTTGAAGGCACTCACTTCCACTAAGCAAACATTTCAGAGCAAATTTTGATCAGTTAGTTCATAAATATTACACCTAAACAAGACTTCAAATCTACATAAGCGGCACTGGGCATGTTACTACAGCTAGTGATTCTGACACAGAGCTTTACAAATTTGGACTATATTAAAAGAGATGATATCAACACAAACCTATACAAAATGAAGAGTTACGCAATCAATGCTATGCACAAGAACAGAAAAATAAGCAGGCAAAAGAAGGCCAAATAATGCCAAATGAAATCATGTGAGAATGACCACCCATAGATACGTTTTCTAACACAGCTACATGCAAAGAGTGGTGCAAGGTGGAGCCATGATGACAAAAATCCGAGCATGCAGACAGAACACTCTGGGTGTGGTATGTGAATGGTTCAAGGCAGGGTGGGGAAAGCTGGGCACATTAATTTAGTTAGATAGATGGCCATTTAGAATAGGGCTCCCTACGCAGCAAACTGCCCAATGGGAATGCAACAAGAATGAGTTCTACGGAGAGATGCTTATTTTCAAGACTTCACATACTAAGCAAACAAGAAAAATATAATAGCACTCAAAAGTCATTCTTCCATTTGAACAGTGTGAGCTCTGTGGTGTCAACTGGACTGCTAGCGTGATATGTGGCGCTGACACTGAAAACAGTCTCTGATATAGGCTATCCTGTAATGACAATTTTAATCACGCACTGAGGCTGTGACAACACTGGAAAACTGAATTGGAGTGATCTGGCTTTGCTAGTGTATAAGTGTAGTGACAGAGTAATCTAGCAGTAAATTCAGTACAGTAGTCTGTTTAAAAAAAAAAACCCAAAAAAGTTAGGGCAACTGGGGAAAATATTGTGGGGATGGTTGTTCCTGCTGCCCAAAACATCACATCCAGCTTAGTTTGTCACCAGAATACCACCCATTGTCATACTTAATAATCTTTTGGAGAACGAAACAACTGATCACATGGGAAAAAATCTGTTCAAATCATTCTGGCTTGAAAAGAAAGTAGAAGCTTCCAGTGGCAGAGAAAGAAAACTCCACATCAAGGGCAAAAGGGACAAACTGATTCACCTTTCGCCTTTGAGTTCTGTGATTAGCTTTTCACGAAGTGGATTCACCTGTTTTACCCCTGCAGCAAATCCCACAGTATTTGACCATGGAGTCGCAGCCTGAGATAACTAGCCTCTTTACCGCTCAAATAGCAAATACCTTTCCCCAAACAGCTGATTATGACAGTGCTGTCAATTTAAAATGATGTTATGTTTTAAAAGCAGAAGAAACAGGTTTCTTACTCTCAGAGTCACTGATGCCACTGCAGTCACTCACGCTAGCACTGCTCCGTCGCTTCATTCGTTCCAGGTGCTCCTCATACTGGAAATGACGTTCCTTTATGGGAGATGAGAAGTCTTCTAACACAGCATCAAATTCACACAGCACCTCAGCCAGTTCTCCACCATCTTCTATAACATCTGCATCAGGAAAAGAGGAATCAGCCCTTCCACAAACTTAATCAGCACAAATTACCTACAACTGTAGCCCCCCTAAAAATTCCCTGACCCGCTCCTGCTTCAGAGGGCTGTGACAAGATCGGATATTAAAAGCATTATTTCCTCACCCATAGATTTTAATTATTTTGTATCAACAAAAAAGTCCTTCTTGACAGATTTTTAAAGTAAGCCTCAAAGTTCTAGCTGTTCCAGGTTGATTTGAACTGACTGGAGGTTGATATTTCATATTGGGTTTTTAAAATTATTTTGTGGATGGTCTAATGTTTTATGTTGCTTTAATTTAAAATATAGAAGCAACATACAGTGGTTACATATACGTAGTATTAAAGTGCAGAAATAAACATGTTAACTGAACATTCATTACGAAAGCCACACAGGAATTTAAAAACCAAAAGGACTGGATAACGTCTAACGGATCAAATTATGTAAGAGAAAACAATGTCTCAGTGTCTATTAAAATGCAGCTTTATTAGAGTTTTGGCAGGTTTTAAATCAAATAAAACTGTCTTTTTTTATATATTTCCTGGTACTTTAGTTTCTGTGCTCCTCTGTCTTTAACAGCACCCAATAAGCAGAAAATAGCCTCATCATTTTTATTTCTTATGGCAAGAAGACAAAGAACACTCCTCACTACTAGTCTCTCTATTAGGAAAAAAAAAACCAGAACAAGCAAACAATAAAACATTGTAGCATCAATGTGAGCCTTCATGGATCAAGTCCAGTTCCTCGGACATTCTTGGAGTCTCCCAGTGCCCATTGGGCTGTATAAGGAGCACCTACAAGGGAACTACCCTTCTCATGGGCCTTGCCTTGGGACTCTCACAGCGCACCAGGCCCATTGCCTTGCTTTCAAACTAGAGGTAGCCTGGAAGGATAATGGAGGTAGGAAAGGCTGTTCCACAGCCTCCTTGTTTTGGAGCTACCATTCCCAGAATTCTGTCTTGGGAGTTATGGGTGAATTCTGGGAGTGGGATTCCTAAAAACATGAATTGCTAACCTGGAGTAATAAATGGTGAAGGGATCCACTATGACTTACTGAAAAGGCCAACTGCCACTCTTTGAGCCTTCCAGGAATAAGAATATACTTTTCTGGTTGGTTGGTTGGTTGGTTGATTTAGGGGTGGGGAAGTGGGTTGGAGAAGTCTGGGAGTAGCAAAAACATGTTGGAGGGGGTTGGCGTGGCCCTAGGTCTGCTCTTTGCCCACCCATGACTTATGGACTTCCATAGGTGTGTGTGTGTGTTGTTTTCTTCTTTTTAACAACTAAATTGAATCAGTGGGAGAGATAACCTGGGAGGGGGGGGTTAGGTCTCATGATTAAGCTGATTAAGTTGTTGTTGACTCTTTTCCCGGGCCTAGGGTTGCTCCTAGAGGGTCTGTTCTGCTGTTGTTTAGGTTTGCTGTTTACACCTTTTAAAGTTTTCTTTGCCTGCTGCCCTAACGGCATTATGGGCAATTGGAATAAACATATGCACCCAAATATTTGTTCTTACTCAATCACCCTTTCCATCAAGATCCCTACTTACATTTTCTCTGATGGATTTTAGATTACAAGCTTGCCTGGTAAAAGGCCTGCCCTGTCTTTAACTGCAAAATATCAGCAGTACTAATTGTATCACATGACTAAACACAGTGTAGAATTGATTTTGTCTGAAGCATTACTGACCTCAGCTGCACTGAAGGGCTCATCCTGCTACTATGGGATGAGCTTGTTCTATACTTGTTTTACGTCTATGTTTGATGTTTTTACGTACTGCAGAGATTGTGTGGATCTGGGTTGTCCATTGTATGATAAGTCTAAGGACCGTAAATAAATAAATAAATGATTGATTATGAGGTGGCTTGTAAGGAGATCATCATCCCAGTGATCAAAGAAAAAAATAGACTTTAGTTTCTTGATGTAGACTCCACAATCACTTATCAAATAGCCAGATTTTGTGTGGCTGTTTTCAGGTCTTGGAAATTCACAGATGTTCTGAGAAAACACCTTCCCTTGATTTTAAAATGGGAGGGGAAAGATGGCAGCCAAGAGTGGATGTGCTTGACGTAGATGTGTCGAGTCTTTCACTTACTAGTTGCTACCTCTGTCACTGGGTGCGGCGCCTGCTAGGTAATTTGCTCTATTCCTAGGGTTTGGCTTTGGGTGTCCAGCAATGATTCTACAGCATTCACTGGATGTTATGTGCACCTTTTTTGCGTGGGCTGAATTATACCACTTTGGACCTGTGGATTAAGTAGCACAGGGCTAAGGCTGCAGTTCTTAGTGCTTATGGCTGTGTCCCATCAGGTTCTTTCAGAGAATATCGCTGTTAGCAAAGGCATATATAGTGATGCTGATTCACCAGCAGAAACATACAGCTGCACAATACCATTAAAGCTGAAGAAAACATCACAAAATATTAAGCAAAGGTTTGAGACAGTTCACAAGTCTTCATCAGGTTGCACATTTAGCAAAACAGGAAGGTGAAGAGGAGAAAGGCTGGATGTTAAGAGGTTGCCAGGAGCAGGAGCACTGAATGTTTACAACAGGAACCTCTCCAGAGGAATTGCTTTGTATAAATATTATGTAGTGTAATGTCCCCTGAAGAAAGGGTTTGTATGAGAGTGATTATTTCATTTGACATTTTTGTCTCACAACACTAAAATATAGAGGTTATTGGCAAATATTCACACTACTGAGGTTAGGATATTCAGATTATAAGACGTTTCTTTTCATTGAAATCTGACTACAGTCATAAAGAGGACATTGAAAGCCCTATTGAATATTGTAAGTTGTCTTAATGTTCACTTCACCACAAGCTACCAAAAATAGCACCTATGAACACAACAAGGAGGAGTCTAGGGATTAGCCACTCTTTTAATTATCATAAGACATAACCACAAAGACAAGGTCTGCTGAGAAATAATTGTGAAAATAATTGAGACAGAGCCACAATTATGTACTTTCATCCAGTTCAGAGATGAAAACAGAACCCTTGTACACCTGCAACTTTAATGCCAAGGGCCCTTGAAGGGACACCCAGCCTTGAACAATTTGCACCAGCCTAAAGGCTCAGCAGATTCACATTCTGCAATAGCTAATCCTGCCCAAAGACACCATAAATCCTAAACCTTTCGTCATTTAAAAAATCCCAGCAAACTCTAAGTTTAAAATATTTAATTGAGTATTCAGCCTCAAAGAATCTAGGGCTGCTCCTGGAACTGGTCTGATCCAAAGGCGCCGGGGCCATTCAAGGAAGCTCACAGAAGTTCACCTACCTTCCTTCCACTTAACACTTCTTGGGAGAAGAGGCGAAACCTTGAGACTAACAACCGCACAACATATTTGCGGACTGAGGTGTGTGTGTGTGGGGGGGAAGAGACTCTCCGAACGACGATCGGGACAGTAATTTACCACGCTAGGCTGAGAGCCTCTCTGGCCACCAGTGGCAGCTTTTAAGTCCGTCTTTGGAGCCCGCGAAGGCGGCTGAAGCGGGGATGCCGAGTAGTCGCCAGCATTCCCGCCGCCGCGTGCCCCCCCCCACACCTGCTGGTTGGAAAGGGGCGCCGATTCCGGGGCTTCAAAGCACGATTTCAGCTTGGACCCCCACCCCACCCTCGGTGGACCGAGGAGAAGCGCCCCCGTCCTCGCCCCCCAATGACTGGCCGCTGCCTTCTTCGGTTTGAAGCTAGAGAAGTCCACCACGGGACGCCCGGAGGAGCAGGGGCTTCTCTAAACGCACCGCCTAAAACTACCCATCGGCATCCCTGGCTTGAAGAGAGACCCCTGTTCAGACAAGCAGGAGCCCCTCACTTTCTGGCCCAAGCGCGTGTTGGCAGCTGGGACGCGTATACGGGGGGGGGGGGGGGTTGGATAACGATGCTGAGGAAACAACGAACTCCCTTCGGGAGAGGAG